ACAACACTAGTTCACAGGAAGTCATATATATGGTGAAGGGAACAGGTTGCTGATGGAAGCATGAGCAGAATCTATTGTCTCTGCCTCGGGAAAAAGAAATGGTTGTCCTAACTGCAACCATTACCAAAACTTCCTAAAACTTCTGATGCTTCTGCATGAAGCTGTGTGGGAAAGAACAAAAAACACCAAAGTGGGCCAGAAAAGAAAGGGCTGGATGGATCCAGCAGAGACACCAAATACATTTGAAATTATAGACCCTTCTCCTATACTTAAGTCAGAAAACTACATGCTGGGATCATGGGGTGGAAATGACCTTGTCAGAAGTCCCAAACTTTGCTTCCATATATGTTCCTCTGAGAGAAATAGCTTTTTTTTGTTCTGATGTCATTTAGCATCATTAAGTACACCCACAGACATGACTACAGTTTAATCTGATAAAAGCATATCCTCAGTTGATGTACTGTTTCCCAAGTGACTTTAGTCTATGTTAAATGACAAAAAATATCCAATGCACTCTCCCACCGCAATACACATTCTCAGAAATAAGAATCCCTATATAAACGCTCCCATTTGTTGGACTAGTTGATTCACACACTAATCCTAAAAGAGAGGTCATTGCCCTCATTGTACCCCAAGGAAGGACAGAGGGAGGTTATTACCAGCTTCTGTTTGAATGTTGGCAAATGATATTGTTGTACATCACATAGCAGCAAGATAAGTTGATACCCTGAGCATTAATACTGAGGGTATAGAGACAGGTTCCACAGTGTGATACCAGGAACTGTGGTCAAGAAACAAAAGAACAGAGGGAAAAACACAGTGAGGAGGTTTCAAAACAGAGAAGGGAGTAGGAAGACCTTCCTGTGAAAGAAATGAAGAAGTTACAGGAATAAGGAAATTACTAGTTACACACCACAAGCACAGGCAAGCAGGAAAGTCAGCTTCCCCAGTGAGTCACCTAGGGCTTGCATAACTGCTTCTAAACTTCTCTGTCACTACCTCTGATGGTCATGGATGATACTTCTATCAATCTTGAGAGTGAAGCACCTTTTTCCCTTTCTCTATCCTTCCATTTTCATTCTGACACTAACCTTAAACATTCCCAGCCTGAGCTGTCTTTTCACTGTCCCCCCAGGATATTGCACAGCCCAAATGCAGTGAAGACTCAAACAATTGTCAATACTCCTGGTCAGTCTACATTCTCCAGCACTCCAGGCCCCTGCCCCCACTATATCACTTTCTCTACACTTCAGTTCCTCTTCTGTCACTCCACCCTGTTCCCTGCCTTCCTCTATGCTGAATCCTTCCTAAGGGCTCTTCCTCCTGAAGTATCACAGAATCCCTTCCTGGTGTTCAGTCAACAGAGATAATCTCTCCCCAGCAAACACATTCTTCCCACATTGAAAATTCAATAGAGAGCACAAGCTGCATCTTATACACAGAGAGAGACAGAGACAGACAGAGAAACAGAGACTAAGAATGACTATAGAGAAGACAATGAGATACACACAGAGAGAGGGGGTGGATGTATCTCTCGCATTTACTTTTCTGGGAAAATAAGAAACTAGAGAATACCACTGCACCCTTTGAACAGTGACATTGTCAAAGGAATGTGCTTATGATGATCCACCTAATGGATATATATTAATGAGCTCAGTCCCTTATTAGGGACACACTGGGAACTCACACACAATTTACTACACTGATGACACACTGCCTGGGTTCAGATTACTGCTGGAGATTTATTACAATTTAGTGCAAAAGGCTCCTTCTGCCATCAGCTTTCAATAACAACTGAATCTCTAGAGCAGCAACAAGGTCAAATATTCCCTTGCCTAAATATTTTCCTTATTTAAAGATGAAAGCACAGATCTCTATATTGCACAGAGGTAAAAGAACCTAGTGAGAGCTTCACTTTTCAGAATGAATGAAGATCTTCCTTGATGGGAAAGCATTCATAAGAGTATCTTACCTTCTGGTCAGGACTAGATCCCACCCATCTTCAATACAGTCTCAGTCTTTGACTCACTTGACTTCCACCATAAGAGACACGTAACTTCCCCTTCTATTTAGTTCACTGATTTGTAATAAGTTAACACTAATTTACTCATAATTTGTCCCTTTGTAGATATGTCCTCTTCAGTCTCAGAAGTTGGTGACACCAGCTACTCTCTGGCCTAGGTCTAAGTGCATATGACAGATTCTTAGTGATTAATCATCACTGCACGGGTATTAGAAGAAAAACTTCTCAAACTAAACACAGGTCTAGAAGAAAGGACTTGGTCCTACATGAACTGTAGTAATGTGTTCATTGAATCTCTGTTGCCCTGGAAAACTTCAGCCTGTGTCTTCACCAAACCATCTTCAAGACTAAGATGAATAGTTGTCATAAGAAGCCTAGTGTTGTTGAAGTGGACAGGTTGAAAAAGTGAAGGACACATTCAGAGGTTCTCAGAGAGTCAGAGCAACCAACCCTCCTACGCTGAGAATATTTGAGTCTCAGGGAAGGAGTAACTCAGGACAGAGAAGGCTCTGGTTGTGAACACATCTGCAGTTGCCTTAGCCTTCACCTCCTTCAGAACAAGACAGAGTGAACACTGAGGTTTTTTTTTTGGGGGGGGGGACACTTTATTTCCACTTCACACATTAGCACAATCAGATTTGTTTTTAAAAGGACACTTTACAACC